CGCCGAGGGCGCCATGTGCTGGGCGGGTGCCATCTCCCGGGAGCTGCGCCGCAGGGTGTGCGGGCCCGCGCCGAGGCCCCGAGCGTCTGTGGCCGCCCCCCCGACGTCGCGGGGCCGCTCGTGCAGCTGCGCCTGAGGCCCGCTACGCAGGGGGCCCCCGGGTGAGCTTGACGATCGCCGTGCCGTGATGAAGACCTGGTCGCGAACCGAGCGACCACGGCAGAGTATTTTTAAGCGACCTGCATGAATCAGCAGCATACCCTATGCACAAAAGTACCTGGTCGCGAACAGGGTGGCCACGGTAGTGGGATGAGATCTGTTTTTTTCAGGATTGTTTGCATGTCTTTTCTTGTGGCAGGTTCCAACAGCAAGCTGACCTTGACAGAAACAGATCTTGACCCTGAATCAGAAGGTTCTCGCGCGTCCAATCTGTGTGGCATTCTAAATGATTTTCAAGACATTTTGAAGAGAGGTCCGCTCGGAAGGCATTGGCCTTGCTAGCAGGCGTCGGCGTAGAGGTTCGGACAGCTTGGGGTTGAGCTGTTTCGGTCGGGGCTGCTTCGCAATTGGCAGCACTTCGTTTTTTTTTTCTCCGTAAGGGCTTCGCCCCCTGCCGCCGGCCCCCTCTCTCGGAGAATGGGCCATGTAAGAGCTAAGTCATGAGGCCTTGGCGCTGTCGTGAAGCAGTATCGAAACTTCATGCGAAGCCGATTCGCAATCAGCACAACCAACTGATCACAAGAGGGGTTACCACACCTGGCGATTGGTAAGACGTGTATGGTTTACGGGCTTGGTTACCACACCTTGCGATTAAAGGGCCGAGGGAGTTCTCGCAGTTTGGGTTACCACGCCTTGCGATGGATGTGCGTGAAGGGTGGCACCGAATTTCAGAAATGTGGCAAATCCCCTGTGTTTTTGGACCCTGACCCCGCGGATCTGCGTGAGGGGTGGCACCGAATTTCAGAAATGTGGCAAATCCCCTGTGTTTTTGGACCCTGACCCCGCGGATCTGCGTGAGGGGTGGCACCGAATTTCAGAAATGTGGCAAATCCCCTGTGTTTTTGGACCCTGACCCCGCGGATCTGCGTGAGGGGTGGCACCGAATTTCAGAAATGTGGCAAATCCCCTGTGTTTTTGGACCCTGACCCCGCGGATCTGCGTGAGGGGTGGCACCGAATTTCAGAAATGTGGCAAATCCCCTGTGTTTTTGGACCCTGACCCCGCGGATCTGCGTGAGGGGTGGCACCGAATTTCAGAAATGTGGCAAATCCCAGTGTTTTTGGACCCTGACCCCGCGGATCTGCGTGAGGGGTGGCACCGAATTTCAGAAATGTGGCAAATCCCCTGTGTTTTTGGACCCTGACCCCGCGGATCTGCGTGAGGGGTGTCGATTTCGAGCCCCCCCAGCAATTCAGACAACGCGCCTAGGAGACGCTAAAAAATATGGTTTGGGCCTCCCCCCCCCTCGCGCGGTCAATCAACTAGTTACACTAACCAGCAAGAAGCAGAACTGTAACACTGGAAACTACAAGCTACAACTGGTACAGGAAACTGCGAACCTCGCGCCTACAGCCTGGTGGCCCCACAAGGGGGCCGGCGGATACTTGTTTTGTTTTGTTGTTGTTTTCCCCGTAGGGGGTGATGCAAGGGTTTTTTTCGTGGCGCCCTTGATGCAGTCAAGTAGCGCACCACCTGGACCCCTTACGCGCACCCCGCAAACGGGCTCCGCCTGCAGTCCAGGAGTGCGCTGGCGGCGAGCGAAACTGTTGGAGCATGGCGCATCTTTACGCCCGTATTCAAGGTCTGCTTGCGGCTGATCAGAGTTGGTTCGCGTTTCCCATATTGGCCTTGAATGTAGAGGATGACGCGTCGCTTCAACCTCGCAGGCTTGAGGCCGTCCAGGGCAAGGAACGATGTATTCAGCCTGGTCCGTAGAGACGTACATATTTTGGAAGGCGGTGTGCAGCGGGTGGAAAGGGTGGAGGAAGTGGCGGGACAGACCAAACCACACGCGTTCGCCGGACAGCGGTCTCGCGAGGGCTTTGCGTTGCTGCCTTCTTGGAAGCAATGTGGGCCAACATGGCTCCTTTACATGTCTTGGTCGCCCTAAGTATGGCGCATGCGATGGCGTCCATGTGCGATCTTTCACCGTCGAAGAGCTTTATAGCGTTCAGAAGAGGCATCTCTAGGATGACCCTTCAGACACACCTTTTTACTGCATCGGTAGTTGGCATTTGGCGCTGTCTTGGCGGTTGCGCTGGAAGATTTATCAGAGCCTGGCTGGATCACAACGACGTCGGTGACGGGGTTGGCGGCGTATTCGGCGCGCTGGCCAGGTCGGCGCGCCCCCGATGAATGCAGCGTGCATGCAGGATTACCTTTGAATCGTTTTTTTCAAACCGCGCTCTGTGCGCAGGGCTTCGCCTCGAGTGCGGCCAGGGATGGCGAGCCTCCTGGCGCGTGCGCTTGCCTACCGCAGCTCCAGCCACGTCGACCAGGGGCCTCTCCCAGAAAAAAATCATCAGCATCATCATCATCACCATCATCATCATCATCATCAGCAGCATCATCATCATCATCATCGTCATCATCACCATCATCATCATCATCATCATCACCATCTCCACCATCATCGTCCCTCGCTATCAGCGCCACCACCATTACCATCATGATCGTCGCCGTCGCTGATGTCGTCGTCACCAGACCGGCCTCTGAGTACGCCGGGAGGAAGTCGGGGGGGGGGCAACCCAACCCCTACGGCGTTGGAAAACAAGGACGACGACAACGTTTCCCGCTCGCCCGTCCGACCGACTCGCCTACGACGACGATGGCGACGAGCGAGTGGGGCGCGGCTGGCCCCAATGCGACCTGACGCAAGTGCATCTGTCCACAAGACAGCGCATAGGTGCCAGGGGGCATCGGCTCGGCCCCAGTGAGGCCCTTGGGAAGCCAGGCGCAATCGCAAATAGACAAGGACCAATGCAAACTAGGCAGGGGGGGGGGGCGCAACTGGCCCCTGGGGCGACCAGGCGCAATAGCAAATGTCCACATGCCAGGCTTTGGCGCCGCTGGCAAGCCGCCCCCAAGCGCGTGTCCCCATGTGTAGCCCCCGAGTGCAGCCCCCTTGAGTCATGTAGCCCCATATGTCTAGTCCCCAAGTGTAGTCCACATGTATAGCTTTCAAGTGTAGCCCCCATGTGTAGCCCCGGGGCTGTCCATCCAGCCTCGCGCCTGCAGGGAGAACGGATAACTGTTCGGACCTCTTCATCTTGATGTCATAGTATACTCCGGTCACGTTTTCTGGTTTCAACCCCGTTTGGCGATTGCGGGGCCCCGTGCGCCTAAAAGGAGCTCGCGTATCTGAGTGTATCTGCCCAGGCCCGTTCCCTCGCGACGTGCATACATGGCGATGTTTTGTGATGACATTTTCATGAACGTGTCCAACATGTTAGTATTGTCCCACGTAGTTTGTACCACAATGCGTGCACCACGCAGCTTGGACCACGTATATTGTGCACTTCTAGAATGCAATAATTCACTGTTTGGGATCCGCGCTGGAAGAACTCTTCTTCCAGCATAATGCTGCTTACATCGCAGGTCTTCTGTTTGAGCAAAGTGTTGCAGACTACCTTTGCGTCAGCCCGACGCGAGATGGCCCGACATTTGGCTCGGATCACTTTCGGGCAACTGATGGGCCTCACCCATTCGAAGTGTTTAACAGTGCGAGGTGCAGGCAAGTGGGCCAGCAGCTGAAGGATCTGCGCTGGAAATCCAGGGTCGCCCTTTTGTGATACGGTGCCAGGTCGTGATCTTTTTGACCGCCTCGCAAACTAATTGGGCGTTCGGATAGTGTGTTCCCCCAAGCTGTCCAGGGCTTGGTTGCGCGATGCAGCTGCGAATGCGTTGATTCACGCTGGGCCAGTTGAATGGGAGGTACGGGGCCTTATGAAAGAACATCTGTCACTGCGAGTACAGGGGGCAACGGCGATTGGGAGGAAGGTGGGGGAAGAAGGAGGAGAAGGAAGTGGAGAACGATGATGGTTCTAGGCATGGGGGGTGCACAAGGGCATGGAGCGGGGAACTTTTTGGGAAACGCGTAACATGGAAGAGGAGTGAAGTTTTGGGCACAGGCTTGCACGTCGCGGGACATGTGGGAGCAGGCGCCCAGCGGATGGTTGAAGTGATGTAACGCGGCTCTTGCCCGTGTGGAAACGCAAGGGACTTACCGATGTGTACGCTAGTTCGGCTGTAATTGAAGTCTGGCCACCCTGAGTTTTATGTGGGGGGCAACAAGTTCCCACAGGTGCTGCTAAACTGCTCCTGGAGGAGCCCTTTGGGGTCGTCTTCGGGCTGTCTTGGAGTTCGTTTAAAACCCTCTTGGCTTCTTGGGATCTTTCGGGCCGTCTTGGGGCTCTCTTGAGGTTGTGTTGGGCCTTCTTCAGGACCTCCTGGGGCCCTTAGCTGTATTGGAGCGTTGTAGGGGCCGTCTGGAGCCCCTCCGGGGGTCTTTCCCAACTTCAGTTGAGCCTCTCTGAAGCCGTCTTCAGTCCCTTCTGGGCCCCTTGTGGGCCGTCTCGGGGTCCTCCTGGACCGCCTCCGCGAAACATCAGATGTCTGTGGTTTAAACGTTAATCTCGAACACAACTTGGATGATGCTGACCTCAGCGTCGTCAGTGGACAGCGCCTACTATCGCTCAGCGCGTTCCGTACTACCATGGGTATCGAGTCTAAGATCTCGCGCCCCCGCACGCCAGCCTTTGCTCCTGAGAGCAGCTCTGTCTTCCTTGAGAGCCAGCCGAGAAGGGGATCCAGACGGTCCTGTTCCCAAAGATTTCCTGGGTAGCTTCGGAGCACTTAACGCTGGGAGCCGATTGAGATCCGCACTTTCTCTACCCTCCCCGTGCCCTCCCTCACAACCTCTCTATTCAATTCATCCGGCCCTCGGGTATCAGTGAAGCAACTGTTTTGTGTGTTTTTGTAATCTAAGATCCGACTGTAAGGTGAACCCGTGCGCCAAGATCCACTCGGAGATCTTGAAGGAGAAGTTTGAAGGACACCCTGACGCAAAGCCCTACCGAGCAGAGTGGGAAGAGGACTTCCTCATCTACTTGGAGAAGGCCCTCCTCTATTTCAGCGTTCTGAACTGCTGACCCTCTGTCAGCAGGGAGTCTGTACACTTCCAGGTAAGGTCTCTCGCATTGGTGTTGACATGTATCAATGTGTATTCTCTCTCAACGGTGGACCCCCGAATCGTGTTGCCATCACGCTGTGCATACTGCACCATGCAAGTGCGGAGTTTTCGATCTCAAATTATGCTTTCGTGTATGATGCATAATATTCATGTCCAGCCTCAGTCCACATTGGTACTGGCAGCAGCCGCTCCTCTGTTTCAGAAAGGCAAACCTCCTTGCTGTGTGCGACGTGTAGCTTGCCTGCCCCAGTCGCTCTTCTGGCTGCCATAGCCTATCCTGGAATGTGCGACCAATGGACACAGTCAGTCTGTCCCTTTCAAAGCCAATTTTGACTTCACTTTGTCGCACTGTGCCCTCCTGCATGAGCTTCGAAAGGTGGCGCAGGAGTGCGATCGCTTCATCGCCATCGAGAAAACGAAATGCCGCCCGGCGAGCAGTGGAAAGGCGATGGGCATGCCAGTGGAGATCAAAGAGAGGTACCTGGCCTAGACAGAGTGAGCACAATGTTCGTCACCCATGACGGTGAGATGCAGCATGCTTCGCTTTCGCTTGATCAGTGGTGCAGCTCCTTGGATGGACGCTTCACGTGGCGTACTCGGCAGCGCGCTGGCCGAGCCAGCCTCAAAGACGGGAAATATAATGGATGCGCCAGATCTTGCAATACTTCGATGCGCTTGGTGGCTACGATTGGAAACGCATGCGGCTGCGTCGCACTCGAGGCTCCCGTTGGTTCAACTACAGTGTAGTCCATTGTCTAGTTCACTTGCCCAGTGAAAGCTTCTCCTTGAATGTTCACCACGGCGCTCGTCAGCAGAAGTCGGTGGAAGTAAAACGACGTCGAAGACGGCGGAAGGCCTGCGGAAGGCTGGCGGGGATGAAGGACGTCCCTTCCGAGCGCTCCGACCTCCCTAGAAGCCTGTCAAGATAGCCTTCTTGCGTGGGATGGGCGGGGTCCCGCCTGACTCAACCCCTTCTGATAACACAAGCTTAGTTCAGCCGACTCAAGATCCCACACATTAAAAAAAGGGGGTAGACCAAGATCCCGTCTTGTTCCCAGATCCCGCCAGCCTGGGATCCCGACCTAATGTGGGGCTGCAAATTTGCAGCCTCTTTTCCGCGTTGGGGCCGTCTTGAGGTCTTCTTGAGATCATCTCGACATCGTACCCCGCTCATTGTTGGATCGCTCGGACATCGTCAGGTCATTTTGGAACCACTTCGGCTGTGCTTGCATTCATCCTGTGGCCATCGTGCCATCTCGGGGTCACTCGTTGCTCGTAGGTTGGGCATTCTAGAGTCGGCCCGAGACGATCCTGACGTCATGTCCGGATCCTGTCGGGGCGGCGTCATCCCTGTGTCGGCAGGAGCTTACCGTCTGTGGTCTGAGCCTTCTTGGAGCCATGTTATGGTCATGGTGTCATTTCGGGATCGTCTCCAGGCGCGCTCTGAGCATGCGTGCGCAACAAGTCATATTGTTGAATGCGCGCTTGCAACCACACCCTCTTAAGAATTTGCAAGGACGCTTTTGTTGGAGCCACGCCTGTTCGAGCGTGCTCATTTCCGCTGCCGTTTTGGCTTGAGGTTTATTGCCATTTGGAGTTTACGTTGCTTCATGCCTATGGCCAGCGACCTGGCGAAGCGCGCCTTGGTCAAACTCCTTGGCACCCTCGCTCGTCGCGCCGACCTTGAAGTGGAAGTCGCAGAACTTCAAGAACGCGTGCAAGGTCCTGTGCCAGAAGAGGGGTGCGCGCTCGGGCCGCTGGGGCGCCGTGGCCATGCGACTGACTTGACCCACGGCCGAACTAAACTGGCTGTCGTGTCGCGTGGGGAGTTAAGATGACACTGACATGACCCACGGCCGGAGTCAACTATGTGTCCTGTCGCGCAGGGAGTATAACTTGGCGCAGCTTTTTCGAGCACGCCCATTTTCGTTGCCGTTTTGCTCCAATTTCATTGGCGGAGACTGGAGGTGGGGCATTGCAAGTGAGAGTTCACGTTGCTTCATGCATTCGGCCAGCGACCTGGCGAAGCGCGCCTTGGCCAAGCTCATCGGCAGTGTTTGTTCCATGTACGGCGCCAGGCTTATTTTGGAACGGAATTGTCAGAAATCTAAGAACGCGCGCAAGGTCGCTGACCGGAAGGAGGGTGCACACTCGGGCCTCTGGCGCGCCGTGGCTATGGGTCGACTTGTCCCACGGCACAATTCATGTGTCTTTCGTGTCTCGCGGGGAGTACACGTCGACGCGGCCTGTTCGAGCACGCTCATGTCCGGTTTGGCCCCTGGGTCATCAGCGGAGATGTGTGTGTGTGTGTGTGTGTGTGTGTGTGTGTGTGTGTGTGTGTGTGTGTGTGTGTGTGGGGGGGCATGGCGTTGCTTCGTGCGTTCGGCCATCTTCCCGGCGAGGCGCGCCTTGGTCAACCTCCTTGGCACTGTCGCTGCTATTTACGGCGTCGGGCTGGCTTTGAAGTGGCAATTTCATAACTTGAAAAACGCGTGCAAGGTCGTTTACCAGAGGAAGGGCTCGCGCTTGGGCCCCCGGCGCGCCGTGGCAATGCGACTGACTTGTCCCGTGGCCGAACTGAATTGAGGTTCCTGTCGCGCTGAGAGTAAACGTCGACGCAGCTTGTTCGAGCGCGCTCATTTCCGCGGCCGTGTAGGCCCCAGGTTCATCAGCGGAGATTGGGGGGAGCATTGCAATTTTTGAGTTTATTGTGTTGCATGCGTTCGGCCATCGACCTGGCGAAGCGCGATTGGTCAACCTCCTTTGCACTCTGGCTGCTACTTACGGCGTCGCGCCGACTTGGAAGCGGAGTCTTCAGGACTGCAAGAACGCGCGCAAGGTCGTTTACCAGCAGAAGGGTGTTCTCTCGGGCTTCTGACGCGCCGTGGCTGTGAGACTGACTTGTCCCACGGCCGAACTAAATTGTCTTGCCTGTCGCGTGGGGAACAGGGTAGGAATTGACGCAGCCTGCTCGAGCGCGCTCATTTCCGCTGCCGTTTTGGCTCCAGGCTCCAGGGTCAATGGCGGAGTGTGTGGGGGTACCCCCTGTAATCCTCGCCGGGATGGCTTATTGCGGCCGGCTGCTGCGGAGCCCTCGGCGGTCTCAGAAGGCTCAGGCGTTCCTAGTCGCGCGCGCGTTCGCTGCTTTACGGCCTTTTCCGCCCTGTCGCCGCGCGCAGAGCCGCAACGCCAAATGAAGCGTGTGTGTGTGTGTGCGCGTGTTTGTGTGTCCGTGTGTGTGTGTGTGCGCGTGTGTGTGTGTGGGTGGGTGGGCGTGTGTGTGTGTGTGTGTGTATGTGTGTGTGCGTGTGTGCGTGTGTGTAAGTGTGTGTGTAAGTGTGTGTGTGTGTGTGTGTGTGTGTGTGTGTGTGCGTGCGTGCGTGCGTGCGTGCGTGCGTGCGTGCGTGTGTGTGTGTGTGTGTGTGTGTGTGTGTGTGTGTGTGTGTGCGTGGGTGCGTGCGTGCGTGCGTGCGTGCGTGCGTGCGCGCGGGTTGTGGCGGCGGTGGTGGTGGTGGTGGTGGTGGCGGGGTGGCGGCGCGTGTAAGTGGCGGGAGTTTGCTTTGCTGCGTGCCGTCGGCCGTTTGCCCGGCGCAGCGTGCCCAGGACAACCTCCGCGGCGCTCTCGCTGATGCTGAGGGCGTCTTGCTGGCTTCGAAGTGGAAGTTTCAGAACTTCAAGAGCGCGTGCGTGCTCGCTCACCAGCGGAAGGGTGCACTCGATCCTCTGGCGCGCCGTGGCCATGAGATGGACTTCTCCCAAACTGTCCTTCTTGTCGCGCGGTGGGCAAGCATCGACGCGGCCCGTTCGAGCGCGCTCAGCCCCGCGGCCGTTTGGGCCTCGTGTTCTGCGGCGGAGTCCCAGGGGGGGCATTGCAAGTGGGGCTTGATTTTGTTTCTTGTCTTCGGTCATCGACCCGGCGAAGCGCGCCTCGGTCAACCTCCTCGGCGCCCCCGCTGCTACTTTTGTACCACCACATTTCCTTAATCTGTGCACGCAACATGTGTTTTAGGAATTCCAGTGGTACTGCACATGTCCGCGCGCATTGCGCACGAATGCTCGGCACGCGCGCTGGGCAGCCGTCCCCGTTTGGTGAGAGCGCCCGAGCGTGAAGCACGCCCCAACAGATCGTGACTATTAGTTTCTCCCCTCTTCTCTCCCTTCTCTCCTCTCTCCTCCCCGCCTGTCCCGTACCCCCTTGAATTCCCGAAGCAAGCCCCGGTACACAGAGTCTGGGTTTCGAGCAGGCGGCAATGCGGCATGTAGTGCAGTAGACAGGTAGATGCCGGCAGTACGTTCCACTGCCGCTTCGGCTCAAGAACGCTCCCCCGCCACAAGGCGAGGAGCGTGAGCAAGCAGTGCATTCCGGGAGCGCTGACATAAAACAATTGTCTTCTCATCTCTTCACTTCCCATACTTTCTCTTATTGCGTCCACTCTCATCCCCAACGACGGCCTCGATGGAAGATACGAGCTTGCAGTATGGTCCAGTCCACCGCCGACCCCCAGAAAGATCAGGTATCGATATGCCGCTGGCACTCCGGGGGAGTGGCCCCGGTCCTGCCCAGATGGGCGTCCAGGATCAACTCACGAGGGTTATGAGCCCAACTCGTACGATTCTACCTGATCCCAACCGAGCAGTACTGCATGGGTTTCCGATGACTTGCCAGGTATGCCGTACTATGGCCGCTGAGCCCGTCACTTGTTCTAAGTGCGGGAAGTTCGGACATGCACAATGCTTGGGTTTGGAATTCTTCCAGGACTTCCCTTTCTGCTGCGACTGTATCTTCGACATCATCAAGGAATACTCCGATTATTCTACCCAGGTACGGCGCCAGGAGTGGCAGAAGAACTACCTCCACCAGCTGGCCTTGTGGAAGGACCGTGCCACGGCTGCCATGGGCGCATCCGCGGCAGTAGGGACAGCGATCGGGGGAGCTGCAGCGTTAGTTGTAGGTAGCACGGTTACGTTAGCGAAGGGCGTGGTCACAGGAGCCATGAACACTGCGGCCGACCAGCCCCCAGCGACCCCAGCACTGTGTGATCAACCAGAGCAGCCAGCACTACCAGTACCACCACCAGCACACCCTGAGCCAAGACCATCCAGACGACGGGCCAGTTCTGTCGGTAGGACGCGGGACGGTGGCGGACATTGTTTGGCCTGCCACACGGCCAACCCCGGCCACACCGCCCACCTACGCAGGGGCGATTGCGTTGGATTCCCCGGGATGTCTTATTTTGGTAGGAAGGGCCGTTCGAGCGCCTCAGCTCTAGGTCAGGCGCTGGCTGCGGGATCGGTGCCCGCGCCGGCCCCAGCGGGATCGGCACCCGCACTGGCCTCAGCGGGATCGGTACCCGCACCTATCGGACATCAGGGGGATGACGGAGTAGAGGGGCAGCTGGGGATCACCAGTGGAGCATCTTTCATGAGCGCCGAGGAGGCCCGACCTGCCTCACCATCTGGGGCTGCTCAGCCGCAGC